CTTAAACTTTTAGGAAACATTTTGGATCTGTTTAAAGGCAAAAACCAATCTCCCATAATAAAGCTCTCTCGATAGCACTGAAGACCCCTTCCAAAATTCCAGGGCCTTCTCAATTATTCAGAATCAATAAGCCAATTAATATTTAACTAAGAGTCCATAAAAGTTTGAAGTTGTTTGAAGTCTTCTAAGAGCATCTTACATTTCCTCTTTCCTGGGAGTTGTGACCCATGTCATTTTAGAAAACCCCGTACCTAATGCAAGAAGGGATATTCAGCAAAGGTGAGGTGGAAAGAAATAAGAGATGTTTAAGGAAGGTCACGTAGTGGTGGGGGAAGCCTGTATTTGAATGCAAGTGACAATCCAAGATGAAAAGCTTCATAAAGCACTCTGTTAAGTTATAAATGGGTGAAGTAGTGGGGTCAAACATCCAGAGATGTAGGTTACTAATGTCCCTTCCCCCAGAAGAGAAGGTGATAAAAGGAAGCCATTAAGGGTGGGCCCTTTTTCTGTCTGGGTACTCCCAGGCTTGGGGGTGGGGTGACAGAAACATTCATCAGGATAGGATCTGGCCCAGCAGGTGGAAGGGAAGGAGGAGCTCTGCAGGACTGAGCAGATGCTCATCAAAGTCCCTTAGCACTGGCACTGAGCCAGGATTTTAAGGAGCCCAGGTGGGGGCAGAGTGGGAAGAAAGATGTGGATTCCAAGGGACAGGTATTGTATAAGGCTGAGGCAGGAGGCCACCCGTGAGGCCTGAGGGTGGAGAGTGTGTGGAGTGGGAGTGCAGTGTCTAGACCACCTGCCGTTATCAGAGGGAGAGGAATGAATGCAGCTTACTTGAAATGACAGGATGACAGCAATGACATTATGAGAAGAGAAGCAGAAAAGTGCAAGCGCATATTTAGAAAATGGCAACTGTCTCTTCACCATCAAGTTCTCCTGGGGAGCTGCCCAAGACAGCACCAGGTCTCTATCCAGACTGAGACCTCCAGATAAAGGGGCTCTTCCTCTGACCATTCTTCGTCCCTTGAGGGATTCTTCAGAGGTGGGGCAAGGCTCAGCCACATTGGATAAAGACTCTACTTCCAGACCTTTATCACTGACTGGTGGACCATAAGGGCCTGTCTTTGTTCCTCCCACCCACATTCCACCACCAACCTGAAGACTCCGAGAGCAGTAATTGTGAGGCAATCAGCATGTGCCTGTTGAATGGGGGACAGCCTCTGTCAGATGTGTCTCAGAGTATAACACGCAGGAGAGATTTATGTGGAAAAAAACGTAAGTCCATTCACCACATCCCAGGGTGACCACTGTAGACCATCACAGACCTATGTCGGGAGGGCAGGGAGGCCAGGGGAAGGGCTGTCTTGCCCCTGGTCAAGGCCAAGACCTAACACTGGGACTCAGAAATAAAACCACACAGAACACCTACCCCATGTCTAACTGCAAAAACTCATTTTGGCCAATAGTTTTCACCTCTTCCTAATGAATTTTTTTTTAATTAGAATTGAGCAAGGTGGACTAGCTTGCAAATATTTAGGGTTTTTTTTTTTTTTTGGTTCCTGACATCCTCTGGGGAATGAACCCAGTTGTAATGAGATGTTGACTGCAGTGAAGAGAAGTAAAGGAAAGCTTGGATAATCTATATTATGGCTGATGCACTGTAACCAAATAGGCAAGACATACTATTATCAGGGCATGTAAAATTCAAAACACACAGAGAAAAAAAATCATAATGTAACCACTATTTTAGAAGTCCACTGGTTTTTGTATTTTTTCCACTTTGTAAAGGCTGCTGGGGTGACCTTGGATGGAGGCAGAACAGAGCTCAGGGTAAATGCAGGCTGCAGCCAATATTCCCCATTGCTAGAGATCCCCATTCTGGTACAGTTCAGTGCCATGAGGAAGCAGGTAAGAGTTCACATGTGTACACACAGGCAAAGCAAGATAGAAGAAGCCCGTAAACCCAACAAGACATCAGCAGTTGTCCTGAACAAAGACTGTTGAGAATGTGAGTTTACAAGGATAATTGCCACTCATTACACAGAGTGCAATAACTTTCTTGTTAGCACAAGAATTTGTCAGACGTGTGTCACACGAGAAGTGGAACAGCTGTAACCGTAAGTGACAGGATGCTGAAAAATGGCTGGTTTCCTAAGCACCTGGTCCCCTGAGACCGTAACATAATCTTGTTCTTAAATTAAAACGACAACAACTACAAACAAGCATAGAATAACTCTCCACTGCAGAAGCTGCTGGCTTGCTAAAGTTTACAGAGAGAATTTTCAATATGTCAGTGCGTAAACATGGAGAGGTAGTCAGAACCTGCCTTATTAAACTACTCCATCACATCACAACATCTGCACTGTTACTCCATCACCTTCACAAGAGGGGTCTGGATCTGAATCCTCGCTCTTGACCACAGCCCCACATCCTTGGGAAATTGTGTCAATCTCTCTGAGCATCCATTTCCGTATAAAACAAAGATAATAATCTCTAATGTACACAGTTGTCATAAGCAATAGAAACCACGGAGTGCCCTTAGCATAGTGCCTGACAAATAGCAGGAAACAGTGTTAAATAGCCCATGCTTAACTAAATGTCACACATGGCTGCATAATGCAGAGGCGACTACCTGTGTATTACACTTTTTAAAAACATTAAGAAATGCAAATGTCACCTGACTCTGAGAAAGTGAGAAAAGACAAGAAATGGTAATAATTGAGGTTCTCCCTGGATACCCAAGAAATTATGCTCTTCATAGAAGATTGGTTTGGGAAGAAAAATAAATTGCTTATTCTGATTATATGCCACCAGAGCTGCTTTCTTCTAGGTAAGAAGTTGCAGAGAGATTGGTATTTGAAAGCCTTTGGGGGACCCATGAAACAGGGCCTATTTTCTAACTGAACACTTTCGGCAAATTCTCTGTAACAGATATAATGAGCTGTGCAAGTTGACAAAGTGTTTCATCTCCCCACTAAGAGAAGGAAATCTTTTCCCAAGCATACTGCATCTTGTTGATTACTGGATACTCCAAGGCTCACAAGAATGCCACCAGCAGGTGAGGGGTGTTGCTCGGTGGTAGAGCCCATGCTTAGCATGCACAAGGCCCTAGGCTGGATCCCAGCACTAATGGAGACACACACACACACACACACACCAAGACTGCACCTGTTTCTTAGCCAGGGCTCACAGCTTTTAAGGCTGAAACCCTTTTAGAAGAGTAAAGGTCTTTAATTCTTTCCTACAACATGAGAAAGTACCTCAAGTTCTAATTAAACCAAAGCAATTAGCCCCCCACAGATCCTTAACACTGCTTCCCATGGCCAGGCAATCATCTCTATTAAAACCCCTTTTAAAGTAAGGAGCAAACCCAAAGCTCCACTGGCAGACACTTCCTGCTTCCCACAATCCATTACCCCTTTAGACACATTCTGTAAATATGCTCAGGCAAACTCTGCCTGCACAGAGAGCTTTGATGAAAGGACTCCCTTAGACATGATGAGGCAGTTGCCAGAAAGGAGGTGACAAGCAGCAAACGTGACAATCTGGGTAACAAAATCCACTCCCAGAGTGGATGCTCCATCTCCGGTCAGCTGGATAAACTGAAGCCTCAGATTTTCTTCTGGTTGGTTTAACAGTTAACTCGTCAACTCCACCATAACAGAGCACAGCAAGCAAAAGCAGAACCAGAGCCTCCAAGTCTTTCAGTGTAACCAGAACACTGTCCAAACTGATGCTTCACTGGGGCTGTCCTCTCCCATGACCCAATCTGTCACTGAAGCATTGACAGGGTGTGCCTGGTGGTTTAAGAGTGAGTCCAATCTGCTCAAGTTTGCTGTTTCTAGCCCACTGGGAGCCATCCTACCTAAGACTCCCTTTGATGAAGGGACTTCATTGCTATCTGCAGCCCAAGGTGACTTTCATACTCCAAAAAAGGAATAGTTACACAATGGTCAGTGGGCTAGTTACTCAGATTTAAATACCTGCCTCAAGAACTAGGGTTATTTTTCAGCCTAGGCATGTTGCTCCATTAATTTCTCCCTTCTCAATTAAACAAGGACTCCCCCCCCCTTTCTGTTTACTTGTGTGGTTTTATTTTTATTTTGTTGTTTTGAGTTGGAAAATTTATCAACCATTAGCAGATATCCAAAATGTTGGTCTAGACTAGCATTGTCCAACAGGAGTAAGATTTAAAAATTTTCCCAGGAGCCACACTTAAAAGGATAAAAAGATTATTATAGAATATTTCATTTAACCTAATATATCAAAAGTATTATTCATTAAACATATAAACACCAAAGAATTAATGAGACATTTTATATTCTTTTTTCACATTCTTTTTCTCATTCTATTGGGCCGTATAGAACTAGAGCTATGTTCAAATTGACATGTATAACATGAGTATAATTAATTCCGTACTGAATGTTAGAATTGGTTAAGAGTAGATTTCAAGAACTCTCACTGAAGAAAAAAGGTAACTAAGCAAGAAGATGAATATGTTAATTTGCTTCACTGTGGTTCACTGTATATAGCAAAACATGTTATATACCTCTTATTAAGAAGAAAAATGTCTTGGGAAGATTTCTACTATTCACTATTACAGGAAAATTTAAAGTATTCAAGTAACACGATCTCATTTTAACTTTATAAAAATTGGTATCTATGTGTTCAGATGTACACAGAAAGCAGTCTAAGGAAAAGCATCAAAAATTAGTTATCTTTATCTGAGAGCTAGAATTATGGATAGTCCTCATGTTCTACTTCATACTCTTATATTTTCTAAACTTTTTTCAGTGAGCATGTTTAATTATCATGAAAACTATAAAGCTAGTCTTTAAAAACACCACCACCAATAGCAACAACAACAACAACAAAACTCTGTCCCTTATTTTAACTCTCTCCATTCTGCTGGCACAAGAGCCACTGCCCTATTTACAGCTAACAGAAGGGATGGCCCAAAGTTACGTCCCACCCTGCCATCCCAGCACTGCCATACTTACAGCCAATCATCATGATAGCCACTGCAAAGATCTTCTCAATGTCTGTGGATGGGGCAATATTCCCAAAGCCCACGCTGGTGAGGCTGGTCATGGTGAAATACAACGAGGAGATGTAGACAGAGTTCTTGCTGGGACCACCTTCCCACTTCCCTGAGCCAGATCCATTAAACTGGTAAGGAGTGCCAATGTCCATTGCCAATTGGTAGAGCCAGCTGTTGTTGCGGATCGTCTTGGTGTCCTCGTCAAAGATCTCATAGTCCCCAATGCTGTACCAAATGCAGGCCATCCAGTGTGCAGCCAGCCCAAACACACACACCAGCAGGACCAGCACGGCAGCTCCATATTCAATGTAGTGGTCCAGCTTACGGGCTACCCGCCCCAGACGTAGCAGCCGAACAACTTTCAGAGAGCTGAAGAGACTGCTGATGCCCTGTGAGAAGAGGAACACAGGGTCAGGATGGAAGATACGACCCCTCCCCTCCTCCCCACTTGGGCCATTATTTTAAGCATAGTGTATTTTCATGAGATACAATATTATGCAACCCTTAAAAATTAAAATCATAATTTTATTCCCAAGAGTACTGTATGGAGATTTCTCTTAACTTTTTCCTTCTTTCTTTAAAAAGCAAATTAATAGGAATTATGTTGTGCCAAAGTATACAAATATAAGGGAGTATCTTTATATCATTACTTATTTTTAAACAATTTTTAAGGGTTGCACAACATTTGTATTTCACATTCCATTGTGCACAGGCATATAAATATGGGTTACAAAATGGTCAAGAAACACACACACAAAAATTTAACAGTCGTTATTGCTGTATTGTCAGGTTATGAAATTACAGGTAATTTTTTAAACATATTGGTATATATTTGTTAGACTTGTATACACTTATTTTCTGTATCATGACTTTTATAATGAGTAAAAAGGTATTTAAAAACCATGTAAATTTAAAATAAATTAAATAGCTGAGAAGGACTAAGATTGTTTTCTGAGAAAAGTTATAAATTCTTGAAAGACTGTCATTTCTTTCAGGTTAGGGGTTGTATAATCAAACACCATCTATTGAAACATTATCAACTGAGGAAACAGTGCTAGAGGGAGACTCCTGGATTTAGCTAGTCAATCCTCTTCCCTTTTGAACTAGTATTTATGAATTGCACCAGGCCAGGTCTGTTCAATAGCCTTCTATGAAACAGCATGGTGGTAGTGAAAAACACCATCAGAGCAAAAATCTGGAAAACGGCGTTTGGGACCATATATATTGTAAATGTAGACCCTTCCATTACCTCTCAGTTCCCTTGTCTGGACAGTGAAGGGAATATACTATAAGGTTTCTTCTTCTTTTCCAAACACTAACATCCTCTCATCTCTAAAGGGAAATGAAACGTATTACAGAAGCCACACCTACTTAAAACCCCAAAACTCCTATTCTAAGGCAAATCCAAGATGTATGAAAAAGTTGAAGTTTCCCTTGCAAAGTTCCACTAAAAAATAAATAAGAAAACAGACTTTTCTTTAAGACTTTGTCCTCCTTTAAATGGCAAAAATCCAAGGAAGGATGATGTCCTTCACCAAGAGGACTGAATGACTTTCCACCATCCTAAACACTAGACAGTTTCTAGGTCACTGCTATTTTCTCATTCACTGTCCTTTAATGGCAACCTGTCCCCCACAAAGGTCAAGTTACATCACAGTCAGAAGGAAAATAGATAAATGCTTTCTGATGCATCTGTGCATTCTTACTCGCCAAGGCCATTTCCTCTCTCTGGGCACATAGCAAAATGACATTTCCCAGTCACCTTCCATCTGGGTGACTATGGGACAAGTTCCTACCAATGAAAAGTGAGATGACTTATGTGTCACTTGCAGGCATAGGCATGCTTTCTCTTTCCTCCATCATGCCTTAGAGGTAAGGCTCATTATGACCTTGAAGCTACCTATTGAAGAAGGTGGAATTATAGCCTGCAAGGAACCTAGATCAAGTAAGACTATGTGGAAGGCCCCTTCCCCCAATCCACTTGGATTATAATGTGGTGAACCAGAAGGAAATCTCTAAATAAGCCACTGAAACAGTATTAGCATTCTCCAACAAGCACAGAGCCCTTTTGTCATATGAACACAATCTCACGTAGCACAGCCTTGCCAATACAGACCAGAAAAATCAGGTAGCCACAAAAAGTACTTTTGTTGAGGTGAGGGTGGGAGAGGTGGGATTTATTGCCTTTTAAAAAAAAGTTTTTTTTGCCATAAAATTTAAAACTAATCATTTCTTATCCAACACAGAGCAAGAAACAGCTGGATGTAAGAATCATAATGGATTTTTCTTGACCAAGGGAGTACGTCCTTAGGGTCAGCTACCTTGGCTAAATTTACCACCAGTGTGTCCACTATCCTTTCCTTGGTCTCCTTTCCTTTTCCCTCCATGTGATTTTCTCAAATTTCTACCATATAGAGTGGCTGAGAGGGGCTGAAGTGGTGGCTCAGTGGGAGAGCGCCTGCCTACCATGTGCACTGGGTTTGTTTCTCAGCACTGCATACAAGTAAAGGTCCATTGACAATTAAAAATTATTTTTTAAAAAAAGAGAAAGGCTGAGAAAATCCCTTCAGACAGATGAAGGTGAATGGGTATTCCCTCTCCAGAGGGCATTTGCATTGCAACAGAGGGGAAAACCTTAGGAAACCAACTTCCAGTAGTAGAATTACAAGTACCCACTGTCTAGATGAAGGAGATATTTCGGGAGGCAACTGAGCCTTTTTGATGACTCAGAAATCAAATGTCATGTAAGCAGCCACCTACCCTCCACCTCCTCCTAAGGCGGTCCCTGAAGTCATCTTTCAAAGCAGTTCAGCTCCGAAACAGAACTTGGCACAAGAGCAAAAACTGCCTTGTCATTTTTCTTCACCCCTATTCAACTCAGTGACATTTCTGTCTTCCAGAATCCCTGAATGATCATCCTATCTCTCCTTGACCTTTCCCCTTGGCCACTCCCACTGCCTCTCAGAGATCCCATTCTGTGATGGTCCTTCATGGAAATAAATAAAGAGGCTCCCATCACTTTACCTCACCTCCTTCTAAATTCATCCCTCGTCCCTTCTCTATCCCTTCCCAGTGACCACCTTGGTACCCGAAACCACTACTCAGAGGTCATGCTGTCCTCTAGCCACACCCTCCAGACACACCAAGCACTCATTGTGGGTACACAAAGGCATCACTGCACCAGCTCAGACTAACCCCTTATCCCAGAATGCTTTGCTGTCCTGTTACTACCAGCTAATACAAGTCATCCTACAGGCTTGTCACCAACTGCACCCTGAAGCCTTCAGTGACTACCGTGTAGTCACAATCTCTTACCGACTCCCTGTGTCTACTGTTCTGTACCCATAACCACTTGAACACACGGCTTTGCATGATGGTTTCCTGTACCCATTTCCCCAACTACATTCAGGAACCACATCTTCCTAAAGGCAGAAGTCACTTGCTATTAATTTTAGAAGCCCACTGTATTGAACTGAACTATGTCCTTCCCAGAATCTCAGAATGTGATTTCATTTGGAAATGGGGTCATTGTGAGTATGGTTATTTAAGGTCATACTGGAGTTGAGTGAACCATCAATTCAGCATGACTGGTGTCTTTATAAGAGATGAGATGGACACAGAAGGAGAAGAGCATGTTATAGATGCAGGTACAGGTGATGTGTTTTCAAGGCTAGGAATGCCAAGGATTGCTGGCATAATCAGAAGAAAAATGCATGCAGTTACTGGGCATGGTGGCACACATGGAACACTGAGGCAGGAGGATCACAAGTTCAAGGCCAGCCTGGGCAACTTAGTGAAGTCCCATCTCAAAAAATAAAAAGGGCTGAGGATAGAGCATCCTTGGGGTCAATCCCCAGAACCACAAAAAGAAATAGTTGAAAGAGAAAAAAGAAAGGTGTGCAACATATTCTCCCCCAGTCTGCTGGTACCTTCATTTCAGACTTGCAGCCTCCAGAATGGTGACAGGACAGATTCTATTGCATGAAAACCTGGTTTGTGGTCATTTGATTTGGAAGCACCCCCAAAATTAAGATACCCACACAAGATCTAGAGCACAGTGTCTTTCCAGAAAAAATCTTGAACATTTTCTAAACTGAAATAAAGAGTTATTAGAGAATTCTTTCTCATTTTAAGGAGGTTCTGGAACAATATAAAACAAGAACCTTTTCACTGTGGTGTCTGTCTACCCTGATAACTATTACACAGTGATTGCATAAGTTCTCTTTTATTAACAGCTGGAATTCTAGCTCTTTAAAAGCATTTCAAGCTATTAATTTTGGGGTTTTCCCATTACTTTCCTGAAGTTAAGCAGATGCAATAAATAAAATACTCCAATTTTTTTTTTTTTTTAGTGCACTGAAAACATGATAGCACCATATGGTAGGAAAAAAATTTACATTTCCCCAGAGATTTCTTGCATCAGAAAACTCATCTCACATTTCAAATAGTTCCAGATATCACAACCTTGAATTATGAAGAACCAAGAATTTCCAGTCGGGTGGACATGGATGAAGGGACAGTAAGACTCTATACTGCTGAGCTTCACCCCTGAAAGCCAACAACTATAGCTGGAGGGAAAGCTTTGGAAATGTAAGTAACCCTGCTTCTAATAATACTGATGCAATTCAAACCAAATGGACACTTAGCAGTCATCAGGATTATTCGTGTGCAAACTACTAGAGTTTCACCTAATTGTTCAGCCTAAATAAATCACTTAAATTTGACTTTACCTTGCCTTCTCATCTAACCAGATTCATTGATTCTCTGCTCATCTTTTTTCCCTCCTGCCATACATATGGACATAAAAGTCAGAGATGGATGACAATGTGTAATTGAAAAGAACTTTCAGGTTCTTACATAGTTCCACCAGGTTTCCAGATCTATATCAGGATACAATGGCTTGCCTAGCAAATTCCGCAGGTAGCCTTTTAAAGATTTAAAAAAAAAAAAAACAAACTTGTTTTCAAGCCCACTTTATTTATGACCACTCTTCTGTATCCTTCTTCAACCAAAAGTCTCCTTTTCATTCTTTCCCCTGAGGTCCTTTAGAATCCATCTTCACATGGAGGAAAATTCTAAGCCTCAGCATCTCCATCTCTGTGGGTTGTTCCCCTCCACCTTCATCCTTTAGTTGAAATCTGGCTTTTTCCTAGCATCCTACTTTCTCCATTTCTCTGTCTTATTCTCCAGAGTAGCTTCACACTTGTATCTTCCAAACATATGCTATTTGGTATTCACAAAAATATCTCACCTGCTTAGAAGATGGAAAAGACTTCCCATGCTCTTGGATAGGCAGAACCAATGTCATTAAAATGGCCATACTACCAAGAAGCATTATACAGATTCAATGCAATCCCTGTCAAAATACCAATGGCATTCTTCACAGAAA